TCCAAGTTGGTACTGCTAAATTCTACAATTTTGATTTTCGACCAAACACACAATGACTCACTCAGCTCATAATTTAGTTTATTTATTTACTTGTTAAAAGTTTTACAGGACAGGATAGGGAACAATTAAAAGAACATACAGTATAGGAGAGGAACAGTCCTGAGGGGATACCAAGAAAAGATCTGGCACCCCAGGAAGAAATAAATAAATATCATAAAACACATAATTAGAAGAGATGAATTACAAGGACAGACTAAGTGAAACATGTGATGGTTGGATGAATTAAAATGAACATAATGAAATAAGTCTTAATTTTCTTTTTTTATTACATAAAGTGAATCATTTAGATTGACTGTTGGTAGGTAGTTCCATAATCTTGGAAATCTGCAAGAGAATGCATGAGTGCCATATAGAAGGATAACTTCAGTGTGGACCAGCTTCCACTTCGAGGAGGAATGAGTTGTGGAGGACTGAACTGAAGGAGATATAGTCCAGAATAATGAAGTGGAGATGGTTGCTTCAAAGAAGACACAAAGAATATGGTGGCACGTCTCTAACTGTTCTAAGGCCAATATGTCCAGGGAGGGGCACTTATAATCACTACATAATTCTTCCCTCTACATGCACTTGGGTGTGGGTTCATTCCCTCCAATAATAAAATGACGTACCTTTAGACATAATGAACTTCATAAAAACTAAAATAACACCAATACAGTAGATTCCTTGTTTTAATCTGCTAGATCAAGGACGTCATTTTATTATTTTGACATGCCCTTTTACACGCCCACTTTGATTATTTTTCAATTTTCAATTTTTAATAATTGAGAAAATCAACAGTAGGATGGAGTTTAAATTTTGTAAAAATTCAGCAGATCACCAGATCTAGTTTTGTCACAATTTTGAAATTAGAAAAATAGAAAATCAAGGAAATTTTCAAATTTTTTTGCAGATGATTTCTTGAAAGTTGCATGTTTTAGTAATTTCTACTAAATTCAAGAAAAGAATGGCAGAAAAGTACACTGACCCCTGGCTAAGCAGGAGGAATAGAAAAGATTGGAGTACAAAAAAGCACAGCAGAATATGTTCACTTCATTTTGGGCAAGGTATCATAAATTTAAAAATTACAATTTAATAGTATAAAATAAATGATCGATAAATTACAATTTAATAGTATAAAATAAATGATCGATTATCGGACAGCAGGTATAGTCAGACGCTTGTTTCATATTTTGTCACTGTAAAAAAACAACTTTTAATTATATGATAAGATAGTCCTATGATAACTAAGGTAGCATACCATGACAGCAGTCCAGCTCTCTTGCTTCAAGTTTTTTTAATAATTTTCTTTCCTACATTTTCGGCCAACAGGTATGATCGGATGAAACTCTCTACCACCGGACAAGTGAAAAAACTTAGGCTAAAGTAGTTTTGTCCTCATAATAACAGTAAAGGCAATATTCCTGCACCTCTAGAGTCCTTGATAGAGGGAATGCAGTAGCTCTGTGGTCCTTGGATATCCTTGTGACCATCATTTTGCTTAGGGAAATTAATTTCACCCATGCGCAAAACTGATGATATTAAACTTCGTTGGGAGAAAAGAACTCGGAAGAGAAAGAGAAGAGTTGAAGGTTGATTATTGAAGAGGTAAGAGCCATGATGCAA